AACGGGAACTCTTTTGGGGGACCCGCGGGTGATTGGAGGGGGGGGGGAACTCTTTTGGGTGACCCGCGGGTGATTTGGAGGGGAGGAACGGGAACTCTTTTGGGGGACCCGCGGGCAAGGTCCTTTGACAATTTTTGGTTAAATGCTAAATTTGGTTCTTTAACTTTAGTGAGTTACATATTTTTGGTCCCTCAATAATTTTTTACATTTTTTTTTATCCTTCAACTCTAAAAAATGCATACCGTTAATCTTTCTATCAATTTAGATCGTTAACTTTGCCATGTGGCAATTTTCTTTTTATTTTTATGACATGAAAAAATCAACTTAAAAAAGTGTTGACCTATAATTTTTTTTGATAACACGTAAATGCCAATTCATAAACTAAATTTGATTAACATTTATATTTTTAATAAAAAAAAATTCGACCCATCTTCTTCCTTTCTTTTTTCTTTTTCTTTCTTCTTCTTCTTCCTCTGTGTTGTTGGGTTCCCTCAAACCCAGCTGATCTGGGTTCAAGGGAACCCAGTTGGGTTTGACGGAACCCATCTGCTGGGTTCCACCGAACCTAGCTCCACCTTTTTTTTTTCTTTGTTATATGTTTATTTGCGAAGAGATTATGCAAATTGCAGGTTGTAAGGGAATTTGAGATCCTTTTCTTCATATTTTCTAAGTATTGTCTAAGTGATTTCAATGTTCAAAATGGAAAGAACATCGCCGGCAATGAAAAGAACAAAAGCAGTGCCTGATGGGCAAAAAAGCAATTCTTAGTGGGCTTCCATTTGTTTGGCTAGAAAATTGTATAGTTTGGGTGTTTGGATGCTGAGAAAATTATTTGAATCTGTTTGATTACTGAGAAAATTATAATGTTTGTTAAAGAAAATTTGATGAGAAAATTGTGATTTAATTATAAATTAATTTAGAATCTTAATTTTGATTAATATAAATAATTATAGTTTAATGATGATTAATTAATAGAATTTGATTTGATATTATTTTTTATTCATATAAACATTTAAATTTAATTTAATTTGTTACATCATTAAAAAAATATAAAGAATATAACGTAATTTGCCATGTCATCAGAAGACATCTTTCTTTATTGGTGATGTGGGGCCCATTTGAGAGGATTTGGTGCCATGTCATTAAAAACATCTTTCTTTATTGGTGATGTGGGACTCATTTGAATAGATTTAGTGCCATGTCATCAAAAACATCTTTCTTTATTGGTGATGTGGGATTCATTTGAGTGGATTTGATGCTTTTGAGTCACGGTAACATGACATGGCAAAACGTTTTATCCATATCATCATCACTTTTTTAAATTTTGCTCTCCACATCATCAAAAAAAAAAATAAAAAATGTCACATGGGCGGAGTTAACGGCCTAAATTAAGAGAAGGACTAACGGTGTGCATTTCTTAGGGTTGAGGGATCAAAAAAGTGCAAAAAATTATTGAGAGATCAAAAATATGTATTTCTTAAAGTTGAGGGACCAAATTTAGCATTTAACCACGATTTTTACCATTCTTTAAATCGGCGTTAGTGTTTAAATCGGCGTGGGGAATATTGCGACCCGCTGCCCATGTGCATGCTGGCAGACATGGATGGGACCCGTTTGACGATATTTGCAGATCTTCTATCGGACAAGTCCTCCACGGGCGTAAATCCATTACCGGCCGTCTACCTCACTGTAATTCTTAATTTATAATATAAAAGTTTTAGTTTTTTTTTTTTTCTTAAATAAAAACATCTAAAATGGATGGTAAACTCACTAATTCGATAATATTCTATTATTTATTGTCATATCCGTGTTAATGTAGTAATTTATTGCCATCATAAATTATTATCATGGATATTGACGATAAGAGCCGAAAAACTCCCATTATAAAGTGAGATCATATCTATTTATTTAAAAATAAAAAAAT